TGATATGATACCTGTTTTTGAGGTATGATTTGATCCATTCATTAGCTTTGCCAGTTATTCCATAGAAATTTAATTTCGATAGTAAGATATCATGATTAACACAATCGAAAGCTTTTGCTAGATCACAGAAAATCCCTCCCACAATTAATCTGTCATTGAGAGCACTTAAAATATCGTTAGTTAGTTCATAGGTTGCTTTTTCTGTTGTTAGGTCTTTCCTAAATCCAAATTGCTCTTTGACTAATATGTTGTTAGAATTTAAGTGTTCAAGTAGTCTATTATACATAACTTTTTCAAAGACTTTTGAGAATGAAGTCAATATGGATATTGGTCTGTAATTAGAGATGCATTTTCTCTCTCCTTTTTTAAAAAGTGGTTTCATTATAGCGTATTTTAAGCGCTGAGGAAAAGTACCTGATGATAAAGATTTATTACATAGATGATTCAAGGGTGAACTGATGTAAACAGAGCTTGCTTTAAGCAAGCAGCTATAAATAGATTCAAATTGATCAGAACCAATCCACATCCCCCCTTCATTGTAAACACTTCACCCTAAACACCTTTTAATTTCTTTTTCAATTTCCACCCTTGTACAAAAATGATTACTCCAGCTTTTAAGAGATATATGCGTTAATTCTTCAAATTGCATGAAGTCACATTCAAATAAGAAGCTCCAAGCAAAAATTATTAAGCCTTTTTCCCTCTTGTATGGGTACCTAATCCTACACTTGTTATTATCATTACTGCTGTTTTATTTTATTCTTATGAAGAACTTATTACATGAGTACAGGTTATAAGTATTATGTTTTGGACATTATCCATTGTCACAAACTTTTAGATCTTAGTACAGATTATGTTGGCCTATGCGATATATCTGCCTAATATAACATCAAAGTTTTTCACTGTCACCATATTTCCAATTGACTTAGAAATAATACTTCATATCTAACTAACTAAATGAAGCAGAACCCTTCTTGAGAAGCTAATAGTTCCTTATCTAGTCAAGAATCTTCTAGCATTTCATGGAACCTGAAGGTTCATTATCATGTCCACCGAAATCCTGCAGCTGGTCTTCACCCTGACAAATCAAATCCAATCCTCCTATTTGCCTAGGTTTTCCAACTAGTCTCTTTCCTTCAGATTTTCCAGCCAACACTTTGCATGCATTTCCCATTTCTCCCTATGCAAGCTACATACCCCACCGAACTCATTCTCCTTCACTGATGTATTCAGTAACATTTTATATGGAGCCCTAATTACGAAGCTCCTCATTGCATTAATTTTCTCCAGTGCTCAATTACTTTCTCCCTCTTAGGTCCTAAGATTCTCCTCAGTACTCTGTTCTCAAGCACTCATAGTCAATGTTCTTCCCTTAATGTAAGATGTGAAATTTAAAACCCACACAAAAAGACGAATTGTAATTTGCAAATTTTTTTCTTCAGGTCTTTACACAGAAGATGAGAAGGTAAAAAATTCTGAAGTGTCAGGTATAATCATTCCCTGCATTTAATTAGCTCTTAATTTCTTTATGGGTATGATTTTCATTTGTTAGTGCCACTTCCAAGTATTTTTGACTCTGTGCACTTTCAATGGGTTAGCTATTTTTAGCATACTTCCCTTATTTTAAAAAAATAAAAGGAGACTTATGAGATCATCTTTCTGTCTGTCTGCCTATCCCCCAACTTTTCTGCTGCTAGGAACTGGCTCAGTAAACATGTCCCCCCCAGTAAGGAGTACACACTGTATTTATCTGTATTCTGGTGATGAGACATTAACACATACTAAGTTTTCTTTGCATTTACTTCTAGACTATTAGCAAGTAGGAGAGCTTCCGTGTTTCTCTTTATGGTATTTATGTCTTTCCCCAGTAAATGAACATCAGCAGCATGTTGCTATGTTTGTGTCTCCATACCCGATTTCACATTCCCAGCTCCAATGGTTCATCAGTTATGAAGATCAAACCAGAAGCCAAAGAAAACATTCAAAGAGCCTTCCTATTCTTATTTCACTTTCTACAAAACAATCATCTTAACAAAAGTTGCAAATTTTTCCAACATTTCAGGACCCTGTATGATGTGGCATTAGTGTTGCTCCCACCTCACATGTCTGCACATTTGAAATGTTACTGATTGTAGAAAATTAAACAGTACTGCATTTGTGTGGCCTCCAATTGTGTAACAATCATACTGAGTGTTGTGAAAAACAGTCAACTGGTTGAACGAACACATGCACAGACAGTGCAGTAGTCTCATGACCAAAAGGGAATACCGAAAGAGGGAACTTATAGACCTCCAAATGGCATAACAATATGTAGTGGTAACACGAAATATCATACCACCACTACTCATGGAGGCAATCTCACCCATCCCCCTCCACTCTTACTGTCAGTACAATGATTACAAACACTAGCCATAATCATTACAGACATATTACCTGCACAAAGAGGAAAGCAAACTGCCTCTTCTCTAAGACTTTATTCCTGCATTTGGGATATATGACTGACAGTATAATTATTAAATGGATAAAATTTATAGTCTTATGTGAAAGGCAATGTAATTACATATAGAGTTCAACCGAGTGACAAGAACTGGCATCTCCTACTCAGCAGACAGCACAGCCACCAGCTGAGGGATCAGTTTCAGAAAGTAAGTTGGAAAAGGGAAAACTCACTGAGGCCAGAGCTTTTCCAAGCGTGTCTCCAGATGTCTGTGGCTGTGGGACACCAACTGCAGGACTATGGCTGCCACAATAGAGGGCTTGTGCAGGACTCGAAGTGGGAACACCCACCACACCGGTAGCGCCTGTCGGAGTCACCTGTCCCCCTGGGCCAGGGCCTGCCACACCTCCTCCACTCCCACGGAAAGTTGACATGGGGGGAAGACCAGTAGCTGAGGTGGGGAGGAGGGAGGTGGATACAGAGGATGTGGGGTCCTGTTGTACGCCTCCACCAGGAGACATGGCTCCATAGCCCTGAAGCAAATGACACAATAATAATTCTGAAGTTGAACACAAGTATAGAATTCCAAGTTACCACGAAGCTCTGAGCTATATTTATGAACTTTGAAATAAATATTTTCAAGCAATACTCTTTTCTACAGGGGAGATATTTGGTAACTGTGCTTGGACATGGCCTTTCTGCTATGCTTCTGCTATGCACTGCATGGGTTACCATTTTTTCTATTAAGTCAACTGCAGCAATAACATTGTGGGGTGAAGCCTACTGGTCCACTTGCAGTACACCTCTCAGAATTAACATCTGAATAAACGAAAATAGATCCAGCTCCTCAAATGGCATGTTCTATTATAAAATAATGGACAATGGATGAAGACCAGACATTTTGTAATGCAAAATAACACATTAGTTTAGACCCTAACACAATGTTTTTCAATGTTCAGTGAAAAAGGAATGATACTTAACTACTGATTAACTGATTGACTGACTGACTGATAAGGGGTAGGCCATACCAGCTCCTATGGCTGTGACCACTCTTCCACCTTTTGTGTATCCACCTTCTTGGTTAACCCCTTTAGCAATATCACGTTTCAGATGAAGTACAATACTCTGGTCAGAAAAGGAAATATAACCTCTTATTCTGTAAATATCCAGGACACAAGCTCTTTGTTCCTGGAAGAAATACAGAAAACATATCTGTGATCATAATGGAAGAAATCTCTTCTGGCACCACCCACTGTCTGGATAGAAATTACCAAGAGTGTTTCTGAGGCAATATGTCTCCAGTTTGAGGTACCAAACCACGGTGCCTACAAGATGGCAGTCAGTCCCTATCACCAGATGATGAAGCAGATTAGGGTTAAGTTCTACACCAGAAGCAGCTGCACACTCAACAGGAGAGAGCAACAAGGAATTACTCACAAACATAGCGTGCCATAAAAAGTCAGACTCAGGAGCGCAAAGAGATGCCAGACCCCAGGTTCTCAAGCCGTAGGAATTTCGGGGGGGGGGGGATATTTAAATTCTACAAAAGGAGGGGAATACTGATAGAGTAGCATTTTGGACAAACAGATACCACTGCCTCCCTCCCCACAAGCAGTGAAAACCCTCACAATAACACATTAAAAAATTTACAATTAAGAATGCACTGATAATTTGAATTATTTATTTTCATTGCTATTATTACTCTTATTATCATTATTATTATTATCATTATCTTTTACCTTTTCTTTGTTTCTTTATTTTACAGTTGTTTATTTCACATTACCATGAATATTCCAATATTATTACATCTCACTCACCTTCATCTGTATTTCAACTCATGAGTACTGTATTCAAAACAAAAAAGGAAAGTCAGTTCCTTCAAATAAATAATAAAAGCCCCTTAAAACGGAGACCATTTCCTGGGGGAAGAATCAGAAACAGGGATCCAGGAGTAAGAAGCAATAAATGCTGAGAACCACTGCCACAAACAGTTTAGGAACTACATCTGCGAATTAAACTGAATGTAATAAGAGCAACAGAAGTTACATTTTTGCATATGCCACTACTGTTATAGCTGACTGTGCTCACATGTCCTGGGTAATACTCACCATGGGGTCATGTGGGAGGTGCATGGTTGGAGGAAACCCTGCCTGGGACAGGTGAGGCGCTGCTCCCCCTGAGAGTAGTGAGGCAGATGAACCATACCCTGTGTAGGGCCCTGACTGTAGCTGTCCTCCACTGGACCATGGGTCCCCTGCTCCTGACCCACTACCATCTGGAACAGAAGACAAAACATTAAACTCTCATGTGAGCAAGTCAATTAATGCAGCAGTACCATTTTCATAATATTCGCACAAAATCTCTAATTCCTTCCAGCACTATTGTTGTGACAAGTACTACCACCCAATACCCAATAAATGTGACAACTTTTCAGATTCAGTCACAACTGCTGCATAGTTACTGTCTTGGTGTAATATTAATCTACTCAACTTAGTACATTTTATTACCACAGTAAACACAAATTTCTACTGATGCTGACTTTCTATATCACCATTTCTAATTATTCATGGCAGACATGGCAGAGCTCCAAACAACTCATTAACTACAAATTACAAAATTTCCCGTGATGCATCTTCGCAGCTTCTCGAAATTTAATCCAGGAATGCTATGATACAGTATTCCTCAGTCCCCCATTTTGCTGCTACACCTCCATACCGTTGAGAATCTAGTAATGTAAAAATGTTCAAGTTGGTAACAGTGATCTATATTCATTTGTTTTTGTTTTGTATTATAATAAAAAGTTTCTTCTCATCCAATATGGCTGTTAAGTGATATGTAAGCACGACACAAAGAAAATCAACAGGTTATGGGCCAAGATTTGCTCAAAAAATAAAAAAGGAAAGAAAAAAGGAGAAGACAGAAGAAGAATAATGAAAAAAAAATGGTAAACACAAGAGACAGAAGAGGTAACTCTTCTGCCAAAACTGAAGGACACAGACTCATTTCCACTGTGGGATTTTGAAATCAAGATTCTGATGCGTGCAAAAGAACTGATAAACATCGTTGATGGCAGCAACCTGTTAAGTGACCAAGGAAGAGACGAAGAAAATACAAGGAAATGGAAGATGTGAGATGCAAAGTGCCAATACTACATAGTGAGAACGACAGAGAAACACATGAAGACCCGCATTGTGACATGCACAATCACGAAAGAAATGTGCAACACCTTGAAGCAAATTTATCAGCGAGACACCTCTCAACAGAAGTGCCTTCTGCTACAAGACTTCTACAACTTCAAGTATGACAAAACTAAGGATATGATGATGAATATAAGCCATGTGCAGAACACTGCCTTCAAGCTTCGTCAACTGAACCAAAACTTGACGAAAACATGATCATGACAAAAATAACAATTCTACCAGAAGACTACAAACACTTCAGCACCGTCTGGGACTCAACGGCAACCGCGGACAGAACCCTTGACAACCTGGTGGCCAGATTGATGTTGGAAGAAATGAAGTGCAAGATGACGACTAAAGAAGAGGAAAGCATAGCCTTTAAGACAGTAACTAAAACCAAAAGTAAAACCCCCTTCAAGTGTTTCAATTGTAATCAGATAGGTCATGCCCAGATCAACTGCCCCAACAAAGGTAAGAGAAATTGCTCTATCTGTAAAAGGATAATCACTCTGAAAAGGACTGTTACTTTAGAAATAAGGACAGTGATACGAGAAAACAATGTACAGTATGTAAGAAAACGAACCATGCTGAAAACGACTGTTATTTTAAAGATAGGAATAAAAGAAGCAAGGCCAATTTTCTAGCTGAAGCAGCAGAAACCCATGCGAGTGATGCAAGTGAAAGAGACAAAATGTATGTAGTGGATAGTGGTAGCACATGTCATATGATAAATGTGAAGACTGATTTGATACATACTAAGCAGTGTACTCAATGTATAAACGTAGCAAAGAAAGATCAAGTATGACTGCAAAAGAAATAGGCAATTTGGAATTTAAAGAGTGTAGTTTGAAAAACGTTTTGTATGTTCCAGAACTCAGCAAAAACCTGCTGTCAGTGCACTGTATTACAGAAAATGATGGAGAAATGTTGTTTACAAAAGAGAGAGTCCAGATACTCAAGGACAAAAATGTTGTAATCGAAGGAAAAAAGGATGAAAATGGATTATTTGTAATTAACTTCAGAGCAAGGAATGAAGCTATGATGACTCAGCAAGATACAAGTGTAGAGTGGCATAGAGAGCTACGTCACGTAAGTTATGCGAATCTTAGGAAACTACAAGAGATATGCCAAGGGATACCAGAAAGCGTGAGCAAGTGTAAAAATGTTGATATATGTTCAGTTTGTATACAGGCCAAACAAGTGAGACTCCCATTTGATACAGAAAGAAGTAGGGCCGGAAACCCAATAGAGATAGTTCATAGTGATGTGTGTGGATCAATTGATCCCACCACTTATGACAATAAGAAATTTCCTTACGTGCGTGGATGATTATACACATTTTTGTAAGATATACCTGTTAGAAAATAAGAGTGAAGTGTATACTTGAAGGAATATGTAAATGAAGCTGAGTGTCACTTCAATACAAGAGTGAGAAGAATAAGATGTGACAATGGAGGGGAATATAAGAACAACGCCTTGAGAGAATGGTGTAAGAACAAGGGGATTGTAATGGAATTTACTACACCATATTCGCAACAGCTAAATGGCACTGCTGAAGGGATGAACCGTACCATTGTGGAAAAGGCAAGAGCACTGATTTTTGACTCAGGTTTAAGTAAGAGAATGTGGGGTGAAGCTGTATTCACTTCTGCATACCCGCTAAACAGAAGTCCAACAATGACAGTTAATGGAAAGCCAGCAGAAAATTGGTATGCCAAGAGACCAGACCTGGCTGGAATGAAGATTTTTGGTTCAGAAGTGTACACTAAAATTCTCAGACCATTGAAAAAGTTGGACAGTCATAGCAAGAAAGGAATATTCGTTGGACACAACACAAGTGGCTACAGAATATGGGATCCAGATACTGAAAGGACCTATGTCTCCAGAGATGTGACATTCACAAGTAAACCTGTGACAAGAAATAAACAAAAGGAAATGGAAAGAGTGACGGATCTAGAAGACAAGCCAAATACTCCAGATCAGGAAGATAGCGAAATGCAGCACGAACCCGAAGCTGACAACAATGAAGAAGAACCAACAGATACTGAAGAGAATGAAGAAAATGAAAATGCTGACCACAAGGATAATGGAAGAAAAAACAATGGACAAAACGAACATGGATATGCATTGAGACCAAGAAGAAACATTCAACTGCACCCATAGTACTGAGACTATCACACAGAGAGTCAAAAGGAGGGTATGCTCACCTATACATATGGCAAGTGCATGGAGAGGGAAGACAGCGACTTGGATATATGTAAACAAAAAGAAAGCAATGGGCAAGAACATTCTGACCAGTAAATGGGTTTTCAAAATAAAGGATGATGGAAGAGACAAAGCCAGACTGGTTGTGAGAGGATGTCAACAAAAGGAAGGAGAAATAGATTTCAAGGATACCTTTAGCCCAGTTGTTGACATGAATTCTCTTAAGAGTACTGCTTGCCATAGCAGCACATAAGAATATCAACACGCAAACCTTTGATGTGAAGACTGCCTTCCTGTATGGAGACCTTGAGGAGGAAAACTACATGGAGATTCCAGAAGGATACAAGAACACTGGCAAGATATGTCTCCTGAAAGAGGCATTATATGGCCTACGACAAGCACCATCGCAATGGAACAAGAAGTTGACAACCTTTCTAAAAGAAGAAGGTCTAAACTAAAATCTGAAGACCACAATTACTAAGTGTTATTCAATTTAACTTTGTAAAACAGCCGATAATGTTGACATTTTGAAATTAAGGAGGAATGTTGAGAATCTACTAATATAAAAATGTTCAAGTTGGTAACAGTGATCTATATTCATTTGTTTTTGTTTTGTATTATAATAAAAAGTTTCTTCTCATCCAATATGGCTGTTAAGTGATATGTAAGCACGACACAAAGAAAATCAAAACATACGTGGAGTTCAGCATCTTTGCCTTTTACTTTCAAAGAACCCATGCCTCCCAGAAGAAACATAGACAGCGTAAAAGCTTTTGAGAGAGAAAACAGTAATGCAAGGGGGGAGTTTGAGAGAGAAAGACAGTGTGCATGGGAGTTTGTGTGTAATTTACACTACTTATCTTCTGCCTGTCACTTTCCATATCTCCAGAAACTAATAACCACAACAACAGGTGCAAATACAAAAGTTGTTCATTTCAATAAGAAGAACTTTTCATTGTTACATGCATGGATTCAAGTCCAAGTCTCTTATTCTTTCCCAAGAAAAGCACTGGGACTGCAACATTCAATCCACACCCCCATGTGGGGTCACTAACATGTTACAGTTTGTTACATATTTTGCCATTGAGTGGAACCTGTTTAGTGCAAATCAACAAATGCAGTATACCGAATAGTGGCTTGAAAATCTTCCCTGTGAGAATATAAAGAAATTAAATTACAGAAGAAGAAATAAATAAAATAGTTATTATTTTTAAATCTCCCCCATATTCACCAGATATGTGGGTAAAATAATTAAGAAAAGTTCCAACAAACCCTAAATAATTATGTGTTTGCAGACCATGAATAACATACATACAAGTGCAAAAAGGTTTAAATTATTTCAATAAAAAAAACAGAGGTTGGGGGCATGAATGACTGGTTAAAACCACATGGGGTGCGCCATGTTAAAAATGGTGGGAACCACTGCTACACAGACTAAGATACTGACAGCGCTGTAAAATAGGCTTAACCAAATGAAAGTAGCAAAATACTACATACATGCCTATTACAGAAAATTTCTTTTTCAAGTTCAAGTTTAGGCTGTTATTAAATGAGATTGATATATTTTTAAGTGAGAAAAAAAGATCATACTTTACAGTTTACAAGATGGATTCCACAAAATAAAACAATAATTTGCCCCACTTAAACTGTTATAAAGTAAAAATAATATTTCTATTTCAATTAATGCTTCAAGGCTATACTTTCTTCCAGCAGTTTAATTTGGAGCAATGGACAATTACAACTGCAAAAAGAAAGAAAAGTAGACAAACAAACTGATCACATAAAAATCGATGTGATCCACCTTGCTTTCTTACAGGAATACCTTTACCTTTTTATTAGACTCATTCTGTCTTCCCAGCAATAATGATGCTTTCATCCAACTTCAATGAAAGCAAGTGTTACAGTGAACACAGCGCCCTTAGGCGACTGTATAAGCAAACATCAACTTCTAATTCTTAATATATATTTTTAAACTTGGATACGTTTGGTAACAATAAGTAATACGAATTAAGATGTCTCTTTTCTGTCTCTCTCTGCTCAAGTTCTGTCAGTTCAGAAAATAACAGATGAAGGTAATATTTCTGGCTGAATTGCAGTGAAGAAATAGGAATAAAAATTAGAACAGAGAGAAAGAAGGAAAGACAACCCGGATCTGTTATGATCTGTTATGTTAATATACAGTGTATCTAATTCAAGAGTATATATATATATAGTTCACAGTTCCATTAAACTCCAAATAGACTACAGGTCTATAATTGCGAAGACTGAACACTGATCATCAAGTGTATTTCTAGCTAGCTCAATTCTATGCATATCACTACAACTAACTTCTCTGTGATGAATTTTAATGTTGGAGGATGAGGTTGCAGCGGCAGCTATGAACAGTTACTTCTTCTTGAGACACGACGACGTGCAGTCCTCTCTGCTTGGTTTCTTGCTTACATTCCTCTGAAATGTTGGGTGACTTTCAACAAATGACGTGGCCTTACATTCCAGATCCTGAACCATATTCGGGGCACCACCAAATGGACGAGGTTGTCACAGGCATTAGCCTAATTATGAGTACACATCCTATTACAGGCATCAGTAATAAGTATGCTTTGGCTCTGCCACTGCCAATGGCCTTAGCAACACTCTCCTGCTCCTCTACGGCCTCAAAAAGGATGAACACTGAGACTATCTCCCTCCCCCGCGATCAGCCCTTTCCCAGCGATTTCAAAATGTGCCTGCGAGTGCTGACAGGACATGGTAACTATGCCAGGGCTGTGCCAAATATGAAGGTCATACTGCAAGTCGTGAGCAACAATTTTTTGTAAAGTAACATGCTTTATTATTGACAAACCAAACACACCACCTCAATCTACAGACCTTTCTTTATTTTTCCACATAATCGCTACTTCTTTGTACACATTTCTCCCAGCGTTCTGAGAGTTTGAAAATTCCCCTTCTGTAAAATTCCGTTCCAGCCATCCGAAGACACTGACGCACTGCTTTCTGAATTGCCTCCCTTGTCTCAAAACGCTGTCCACGCAGCTGATCCTTCACAAATCCGAAAAGATGGTAGTCAGAGGATGACAGATCAGGGCTATAGGAGGGGTGTGGAAGAACTTCCCACCCCATCTTTGCAATTGCTTCCAATGTGACCTTTGTGGTCTTCAGTCAATAACCGCGGGACCCAACGAGCACAAACTTTCCTATAGCCCAAGTTTCAATCATCTCCTGTACTGCAATGTGCCCTATTCCAAGTTTTTGGGCTACTGTGTCCACAGTCACATGCCTGTCATCTTGAATGATCTCATTCACTCTTTCCTTGTTGCGTTCAGTTGAGACTGTTCGAGGACGAACGCTCCGAGGCTCATCTTCGATGCTGGTGTTCCCATCTTTAAAATGTTTCACCCATCTTCGAACACTGCTCGCACCCATGCACACACTTCCATAAGCACGCTGAATTCAGAAAGCAATGTGTCAGTGTCTTCAGGTGGCTGGAACGGAATTTTACAGAAGGGGAATTTTCAAACTCCCAGAACGCTGGGAGAAATGTATACAAAGAAGTGGCGATTATGTGGAAAAATAAAGAAAGGTCTGTAGATTGAGGTGGTGTATTTAGTTTGTCAATAATAATGCATGTTGCTTTACAAAAAATTGTTGCTCATGACTTTTAGTACGACCTATGTAGTATGTGTTCTGGTCTGAGTACAGTATCAATACTCACCAATGTAGTAAGAGTCCCCATAGAGACCTGCCGTCTTGGGTGAGGTGTAACGTGGTGAGTCCTGCCCAAATTCATCTGATCCATACTGTAACAGAAGAGAACATAAGACTGTGAGTGTACGTACTGCTACCCACTGTCAGACTTTGGTGAATATAATAACTAAAGAGAACTGTGGCCCTAATACAGAAACAGCCTTGTATAAATGTGGAAGCACTGAGAAGCCTAACCAGAAAAGCTGCTCTGCACCAAATTCAAGCTTTATATATGTATCATTTTAATTGTATAGTATTCCATCTGTAATGCAATAAAGTCAATCCTTTTCTTAAAAGACACTAATATATATTTAATTCACTAAAAACTGTTAAATATTTTAAAGGTCATTAACTATGTACATTTGATGTCATTGATACATGTTTCAGCCACAAGGGCCATCATCAGGCAACACTAATTACTTGAAGAGACCACTGCACTTTACACTTTGTACTTAGTAACCTTAGGCACGTTGTTGTTGTTGCACTAAGGAAAAAGTGTACAGTGTACACTTAGACTGGCTTAGACTTAGGCTGTAGACAGATATGGAAAAAGATCATCAGTCTTAATTACATATCATTTACGGTTCATTCTGACGAACGCGCCTGTTAAGTGCACACAGTACACCTTAAATTTTTACATGCCCCTTCTTTGTCGCATTTGTGCATTCACCTAACAATCGGATACCATCAGCACTGACCGAAGCTGATGTGTTCCATCCAATTCAAAACCCTCTTGGCATTCTTCGATCTTTCTACCGCCCAAGAGTAGAGAAGAAGTGAGAAGCTACAGATATAAAGGATCTCCTTGCTTCAGAATATTCTGAACAGTGAATGCGTCACACAAATGTTTGATTCTAAAAACCCCGACAGTGCGCTGAACTCAGTGAGAATTGTGCAAACATGAATATTCTAATCTATTGTGACGTGTTGCGCAATGGAGGACACCCCCTCCCTCCCCAGCAGTGACGTGGCAGCTCTGGCCATGGTGACGTGACGGGTGAGTCAGCGCCCCCCCCCACGCCGCACTGTGACATGGCACGCAACGCCGCTGTTGACACAGGCAACAGCGAACGGAATAAAAGCCGGCTGAGCAGTAAGCGAGGGTCAGTCAGCAGTGAACAGTTAGTGTGTGAAACCCCGCAACAGTGTTATAATCAATTGTAGTTACGACTTGTATGTTGTTAAATAAACCAATTAACAATCCGAACGGCGTCTTCAGTAACAAAACACGTTACACTGGTGTCAGAAGTGGGATTGCACTTACACACGTGATGAACAAGATTCGAACCTAAACACGTGACACTATTCTACCCCTCTCCCCCCCCTTAACCTACGAACTGTTCAACTGTGGTCCATTTTCCTTCAGTATGTGACGAATGCTGAATTACTTGCCATATTACGTCGTCTGGATAGAATCTGTTAATACAGACGCAGCAAAAATTCTCCTAGTTTTATTTTCGCCCGTTCCGAATGAGGCGAAGGAAAATCCATACGGCACAAACTACAGCAGCTCAGCCGGTGATGCAGCTGATGAGACGGCGAGAATATACCGTAAGAGAAAAGTGGGTAATATTTTCTCTACCAGGACGAGAACGGGGTACGCGGTAGCTTAGTTGGTTCAGGCACTATGCTACAAGCCGGAAGGTCGCGGGTTCAAGTTCCGATGAGGTCACTGGATTTTTTTTTTAATCGACAGCCGCACTATGGGAGTAAATAATTTTCCTGGGAAGTAAAGCGCGGCCGGCGCGTACGGCTCACAACCTTACCGCCATCTTTGAGCCGATTGTCTAGATAGTGTGAGACCCTCAATATCTCACGGCCTGTTACAGGGATACCTTTACTTTACTTTAACCAAGACGATAACAGCTAAACTTACAATTCAGTTTTGATGGGAGGGTAAAGACGGCCTGCTTCCCATCTCGTGCCAAAGTGTGAGAAGATGTCTCAATTCACCTCGTCCATGCTAGAAATGACACAGCATGATGAACAGGTATGAGTGCCTTCTTCTGCACTGATATCACACTATGTGTGTCGCTACACAGCACGCAGTTCAGGCACTCTTGTCAGATGATATGTACACCAACGATTCTCACTCAAGAAGTCGGTTATCCTAACAGCTTATTGAGGGTTTCCTCCGGCTACCCAAGTTACTTTGTGACAAGTCATGACTGGCATCTTCCACATACACATCTTCTAAGCATCCACAATCCCCCCCCCCAATATCATTCGAAACTAATATGTAGCCTTACATAAATAAGCTACGAATTAAATAACATAATACGGATTTACATTCCTTGCCATATTTATTGTATTAAGTATGGTGAAGACGATACAGTAGCTTTTCTCTGAGGCAGACAAGCAATCCGGAAATAAAACTACTTCCTGATGAAGTCCTGCATCATGCACATGAAAGCTAAGTGAGAAAATGGGGAACCACGAAGGGGCAGTGTGAATTCATGTTACGAGGAAGCCATTAGCATTATTCGCAGCAAGTCGAAGGCGTATCCAGGCTGTGCTACTAATGGCTAGACAATGACTTAAGCACAGAATGATAATTCAAACTCCCCAGCTTCATCCTGCGACCCTCCTAAATACAACACGACGCACGCCATTACGCCGTGCTGTGTGTGAATCGTTGCACAGAACACCCACCAACGGGCTGCGTATGAGTACGAGTATACGTACAATTTTGTGAATAACCATTTCTCGTGCGGTCTTTCCATCTCCGCATCTATTTGAGGTACAAAGACTTTCATCAGGCCCACAGTTCGTTTTTAATATCTCAAACATCATTTCTCATGAAGAAAGCAGTCTTCTGGGATTTGGCACCGTGTATATGTGGTGTTAACCGACGTTTCGGAGGAACGTATCGCCTCCATCTTCAGGGTAGAAGGAAAAATATAAGAAATCTGCAAGCGAAGAGACCGTGAGAGCAGACTCAGTCTGCTTTTACCGGTTCTCACGGTCTCTTCGCTTGCGGATTTCTTATATTTTTCCTTCTACCCTGAAGATGGAGGCGATACGTTCCTCCGAAACGTCGGTTAACACCACATATACACGGTGCCAAATCCCAGAAGACTGCTTTCTTCATAGTCACCGCCGTGAAAGCCTCAAATCTTACATCATTCCTCATAATTTTTTACGCAGAGCACCAGAAACGCAAGTTAAATCTCATAGCCCCATCAGCATAAGCTTCCCGTACACAATTAACTATAGACGCAGAGAGATTCTATAGGGTTCTGAAGATGGCGTATAACGTTCAGAATTACTGGGGGTTTGGACTTTTCCCATCGTCGGGTATTCTACAAAATAGAAAACACGACGTTTCGGAAATTGAATTTGTTTCCATCCTCAAGTTACGGAGGGAAGACACCTGCTCAGTTGGGTCCCTTAGACCGGAGTTAGCTCTAAGTGACCCAACTGAGTAGGTGTCTTCCCCCGCCATAACTTGAGGACGGAAAAGGGTCTAGCTTTCGAAACGTCGTGTTTTCTATTTTCTAGAACACCGGACGATGGAAACAAGTCCAAACCCCCAGTAATTCGCAGTATAAACGCACAGCCTATTCGTATTCTGATAGAACAGTTAGTTCTGCGAGCGTGAACATGAATTTCGTTGTAAAATGTAAATAAAATCCTGACGTATTCTATTCAAATAAGAATTCTCGGATTTGACATGAAACAACACATAAGCAACTTAAATCCGTAGTTTTATAATCTAGATTATTTATAAGTGATATGCAGTATAAAATACATGGAATATGAAATACTTTGTCTAATGTTCAAAATCATTAGGTCTAGAATATATTTATATGTGACGTTGAGAATTCTGCGAATACTGATCAATACGGGTCAATACCAAAATTTAAACGTAAACTCTAGAAAGGGCCCAACTGTAATAGTTACTGAATAGGGTTTCATACTAGTCTATAAGCCTCCCAAATACGGGTCACCAAGGAATGATGTATTTCGTAGGCACGATGACGCCTCTGGATCCCAAAGTTCCTTAAAATCAAAATAATTAAAAATAAAGAAAAACGCGGGAGGAAATGTTAGATTTCATTAGTTTCATTAGACAGTTTCATTACGTATGCCCATTCTTTCTCTGCTTCAAGTTCATTCAATAGGCAGAGGAAAACGGCAGTCTTCATCATAAAATACGTTACATTATCTTCATTATGAAGTTCATGCAGAAGGCAGGAGAAAATCAGAGCGAATCCACTTCGACACACTGCAAGACAATAATTTACACGTCGGTCTATAAACAGGGAAACGAGTAGTGTATTTAGTGTAGCTCATACAGACTCAGACGCCAAAGTCAAACCGCTTGCAAAACTGATGCCAGAGATAGCTTCGTGTGTCGCTCTTTCCGAAGGGCTCACCGCTGCGAAATTTAAGGTAATCAGTGTCACCTCACTGCAAAAAAATCTGTACCAGGCGCGTTATCTATCACCTTTCAAGAGCGCCCCATTCATGAATTCTTAAAATTAATGGATATGAAAAATTTGCAGGTGTTATGAAATTCTGCTACAAGGGAGAACACCCAAAGCCTTCATTTATTCACTCTCAATCATCGCCAGTCGATGTCAACCAGCGCCACCCCGTATTTTCTTCGTTTCTGTTATCCACTCTACTGCGCGCTTCAATTAGCACTGCCCGTTTCACATTAATTACCAGTCATGACAATACATACATGTACATATATTTAGACTTCCTTCCTATTCATATATGTACGAGTATGTTATCCCCGGTCAACACATCTATGACTGCCATCAAATTAATGGCAAATTCATTTTCCTTCACCGAACGACTTTCAAGGAGCACACAGCTTAATAAAGAAACTGGTGTGTACAAGTAGACTTCCAGTTGCTGAGCCATGAGTTTATTCATCGACGTCTGCCGAGGTTACGCAGCGCCCGTCGAAACGTAAGGCGCTTGTGTGAATGAGGATTGGATAGGATACGGAAGAATGCCTAGGTACCCGCACAGCCCGACAGGGAAAACGCCGCGAAAAATATCAGCAAGGCTGTGAACTGCTAGACCGCGCGTTAGGTTG